TTTTTTGAGACAGTCTCACTGTGTTGCCCGGGCTAGAGTGCCGTGGCATCATCCTAGCTCACAGCAACCTCCAACTCCCGGGCTCAAGCGATCCTCCTGCCTCGGCCTCCCGAGTAGCTGGGACTACAGGCATGCGCCACCATGCCCGGCTAATTTTTTCTATATATTTTTCGTTGTCCAACTAATTTCTTTCTAATTTTATTAGAGACGGGGTCTTGCTCTTGCTCAGGCTGGTCTCCAACTCCTGAGCTCAAACAATCCTCCCGCCTCGGCCTCCCAGAGAGCCAGGATTACAGGCGTGAGCCACCGCGCCAGGCCTGATCTCTTATTAATTATTATTATCAATACGCGAGTTGTCTCATTGACTCATCACGAAATAGTAGAGGAGCTCTTGTTACTTTCGTTTTACAGATGAAGAAACTAAGTCTTAGAGGAGTCAGTCATTTGCCCGAGGTCCCCAGTTAGTAAGTTGGAGCCAGGCTCTGCCCCCCGGTTCTAGGCTCATGGCCACACTCTGGGTGCCGGATGGAGGCCCCTTCTAGGTAAAGGGGGTGGCGTTGCTGCCTCTGGAACTGGGCAGGTCCGCCATGCCTCCTCCCGTGCTCCCGATCTTTCTGTCTCCCTCCTCCAGGCTGGTGGAGGAAGTCAAGGAACTCTGTGATGACCTGGAGCTGGAAAACGAGGATGTTTACATGGCAACCACCTTCGGGGACTTCATCCAGCTGTTAGTGAGAAAACTGCGAGGGGACGAGGATGACAGCCAGTGCGCCGTCCACTACGTGAGTGCTGGCTTTTTCTGTGGGCTAAGAACCCTCGCAGCCCCACCGTGGGGCGCCGAGTAACCAGCCTGAGGCCCCACGAGGAGGAAGTGGGACCCCACCCCGAGGGTGGGCCTCAAAGTCTGCACCCTTCGTGTCTCCTGACCACTCAGATGCCACCGCCGCCCAAGTGACAGTCCCCAAGGGGGCCGCGGGGGCTTGAGCCCCGGCCCCTCAGTTGTGCGTGTGTGTGTGTGGCTGGTCGTCTGCCTGTCTTTGTGTTTCCTGTGTGCCCGTGCGGGTTTGTGCTGCTCAAGAAGAATCCACGGGCCGGGCGTGGTGGCTCTCTGGGAGGCCGAGGCGGGAGGATCGCTCGAGGTCAGGAGTTCGAGACTAGCCTGGACAACATAGCGAGACCCCATCTCTACTAAAAACAGAAAGAAATTAGCCGGACAACTAAAAATACATAGAAAAAATTAGCCGGGCATGGTGGCGCGTGCCTGTAGTCCCAGCTACTCGGGAGGCCGAGGCAAGAGGATCGCTTGAGCCCAGGAGTTTGCGCCACGGCACTCTAGCCCGGGCAACACAGTGAGACTGTTGTCTCAAAAAAAAAAAAAAGAAGAATCCACGCTACAGCCAAGGCCTTGCTTCCCAGGTGGAAATGGCCGTCAACAAGCGGACGCTCCAGATGCCCCACCAGCTCTTCATTGGGGGGGCGTTCGTGGATGCCGACGGCGGCAAGACGTACGAGACCATCAACCCGACCGACGGAAGTGTGAGTGCAGGCCTGGCGCCCTCCGCGGCCTCCTCCCGCTTCGCCCCCTGCTTGCCCTTCTTGCGTGGGGTGGGGGAGGGCACGGCGGTCCCTGGTGGCCAGCAAGGAGCTCTGGCCTCGCCTCCACCCCCAGACAAGGTGCACATGGGCACACGGGTGCAGACCCAGGGCCACGGCCAGTTGCCTCCAACGCCTAGTCTATTTCCCTTAAGAAAGAATCTTTCTGGCCGGGCACGGTGGCTCACGCCTGTGATCCCAGCACTCTGGGAGGCCGAGGCGGGAGGATCACTCGAGGTCAGGAGTTCGAGACCAGCCTGGACAACATAGCGAGACCCCTGTCTCTACTAAAAATAGAAAGAAATTAGCCGGACAACTAAAAATATATAGAAAAATTCAGCCGGGCATGGTGGTGCATGCCTGTAGTCCCAGCTACTCGGGAGGCTGAGGCAGGAGGATCGCTTGAGCCCAGGAGTTGGAGGTTGCTGTGAGCGAGGCTGACGCCACGGCACTCTAGCCTGGGCGACAGAGCCAGACGCTGTCTCAAAAAAAAAGAAAATTCTTTCTGGGTTCAATGGGAGTTGAAGAGACGGCCCCCGATATGGAGAAAGACAACCAGACCTTTCCCCAGACTGTGCCTCACCCAGGGGCGGGGGGCGGGCAGAGGTGTCTGAGTGCCCCGGCCCACGAAGAACGTCACGGCTCTGCCCCCACGACAGGTCATCTGCCAGGTGTCCCTGGCCCAGGTCAGCGACGTTGACAAGGCAGTGGCCGCGGCCAAGGATGCCTTTGAGAATGGACTGTGGGGGAAGATCAGCGCGCGGGACCGGGGCCGGCTTCTGTACAGGTGAGAGCCCCGCGCCCACCTGTCCGCCACCTTCAGCTTGGGCGGGGGCGGGGGGGGGGGCCGCTCCTGCAAAGGCTCCTTTTCCCGGGATCCTGCCAGGAGTCGCCAGGGGAGATTGGAGTCTCCCGGTCTCACCTGTTCTTTCTTTTCTTTTTCATTTTTTTTCTCTACTCCTCCTCCTCCCCTCC